CCCCCCCCCCCATGACAAACCATACATTTTCCGATAACGACAAAACGTGGATGCAAAACAATACCAATAATAACAATAATCACCACGGTGATTACTTTTTAACAATGAGTTTAAGGATTAACACTGAAAATGCAAAATATATATGCATGGTGTGCTGTGAAGCGTCATAAACTGTTAGGAAGGGCGAAATTTTGAACGGAGGACGAAAATCCTAAAGAAAAGGTGAAGTTTCTAAAGGGGGGCGAATTTCCTAAAGGGGGGCGAAATTCCTAGGATTTTCGCCCCCCTGGGGGGGGCGATATTCCTAGGAATTTCGCCCCCCCGGGGGCGAAAATGTAGAGGGGGCGAAAATCCTGGGACAGCGGGGGTTTTTTTTAAAAAAAAAGGTCGCCAGATTTGGACTGGATTAGGGTTAGACTAAGATTAGATTAGGGTTAGGGAGGTTAGGGTAGGGGTGGGGGTTATGTTTAAAATTAAGGCAATGTCTTAATTTTGAACGCTTTTTACAATTAAGACATAGCCTGTGTCATTATACTTAGCGGGTTTATATGAGAAGGCTCTCATCTGAGAATAAAATTGATTATATTTGGAAGTTATTTAAACATAATACAATTTAACTTCGTCTCTGATCTACTGACCCATACCCGTACAACATTTTCACCGCAATTACCACAATCATGACGTCATCACCTCCTTACCAGGCCCTTTCTCGTACCTTCAATCCGACCAGTCATCGTCGTCGTCGTCATCCCATTCGTCGTCATCATCGTCTTCTTCATCACCTAAAATAAATACCGTTCTAACTGTAAATAAAATGCATGAAAATTATCCAAGATCGCGTGGTTGCCAGCGGACCATTTGCGTAATAGACTAAATTTTGATCTGAACAAGCTGGACAAAAAATTCATCACAGCTTGAAAGAGCATCACAAAATTAGTAATATTCCAAACTTTCGTTGCGAAATGTTGTAAAATGCGGATAATATAGCTTTGCGAAGTTTGCAATTTTCAGTCATTTTAGATTACAAACTGGAAATTGACAGCCCCAAAGAGTATTGGGCCTGTCAATTTTCCGTTTGTAATCTAAAATGACTGAAAAACGGCAAACTTCGCACGGCTATATTATCCGCATTTTACAACATTTCGCAACGAAACTTTGGAATATTACTAATTTTGTGATGCTCTTTCAAGCTGTGATGAAATTTTTGTCTACATCAAAATTTAGTCTATTACGCAAGTGGTCAACTCTCATGCACTGTCATTTACCATGCTTTTTTTCTCTCACCCGCTACGCAACTGGTCAATTTCATTGCGTTGCCGGCGCGAGAAAAAAACCCCGCAATAGACCTTGTGCATAATGACATCACAAGGGGTCGATGCCCCCGAGGAATGCTGGTCTCAGTGGTCATTGTCCGGGAAAATTAAACAATTCAAAATGGCCAATATCGAAATTTTCCCGGGCGATGACTACTAAGACCAGCATTCTTCGCAAGCATCAACACTCGTGACGTCATTATGCATAAGGTCTATTGAGCTTCGATTTGTAAAACTCTGGCTTTGCATTTGTCTTAACAGACGAGAAAATAATTGCACGTGTTGCCAGTCTCAACAGACGAGAAAATAATTGCACGTGTTGCCAGTCTCTTGGCGCCGGTAACGCGATTGAATTTGACCCGCGTTACGTTGCCCGCGCAAGAAAAAATCTCACGTGTAACCCACATGCATACCTACCAAGTACTTTTGCTCTGTTGTCCAAAGCTCGTGCCAGTGCTCCACGCATACTGTTGCTTTCCACTTTAGGAATTGGTTTCCGCGCACCGCTGGTAGACTCACCAACCTTAAAGAGGAAAGTAATATTTTTACTCCTTACGATACAGTGGAATACTAGCTAGAACAGCGAAAATTCCGGAATAATCACAACTCCGAAACTTTTTTAGTACCGGATTCAGACAAGTTGCGGTTTAAACACACACAAAGACGAAACCGACAGGAATTATCTCTGTTATTAATCTCATGGAAACTCTCAGTCTGAATCCCGAAAAAAGTAGAAACTTTATATCTGGAAACATTCGAATCCGAGACAAGTCGCTGTGTAAACGGTTACCTTAACGAGTTCGCAACCTTTTCTGGCTGATAGAAGTGGTTTCCCTTGAGGGAATTTGTAAATTGTAATGTCTCTAAAAGCCTCATTAAATTTTCCTCAGTTAGAAGTTCTCAACTTCCTGTTACAAATTGCTAACTTTGCAAAGGTGTTGAGGGAAATTGCAACTCAGTGGCGTGCTGGCAGGGGGGGGGGGCGGGGGGCCAAGGCCCCCCCAGCTGGCAATTCTTGGGAGGCGCAAAAATGAAAAGGGGGCGCCGAATTTTGAAAGTGGGTGGGAAAAAACGCATTCGAAAAAATATAGTTACTTCCGCCAAGAAAAGATGTGCTTATAAACAGACTAAGCGCACAGGCGACAAAGTCACACATATTAAATTACAGACTATTTTGTCTAACCGTATTTGCTAATTTGCTACCTCACAGCTCACACAAAATCGTTCATAGAGAAACATGATCAGTGATCACAGGCAATGTCTCATTACCGGAATATTGGTCAGGTTTCGAAGTGATCACGGGAATTATGCCCTTTTTTGCTGGTATCATGCACTTATATTATGCCCCTTATTATGTAAAATTGTGTACGCAATTTGTTTGTTTGCGCAAGAAACATCATGAGTAATGTAAGTAATGAAAAATGCTGAAACACGCCCTTTTGGCAGCCAGGCAAGGAAACCATAAAATGCATATGCGTGGGGTCCGTGTATTATTGTATAAGAGCTGTAAGTTGTAAATGTATTCAGAACACTAGATCAGTAGAAAATAGAATTGGGAGAATAAAAGCTGGAAGCAGTTAGCATTGCATAATTTAAGTACTACTACTAAATTCTAACCAAATTGCAAATTTCGACACGTTATAATCCGTTCCCTGACCATCAGATTTCTGTCAAATCTTCCCCCAAAGTCCAGGAAATGGCATTTCAGAGACTCTAAATTGAAAAATTTTCCTGGGGGGCATGCCCCCGGACCCCCCTAGACAAACCTCGCACCTGCGGCGCTCGGCTCGTGCCTTCGGCCCTCGTTTATCAAGCGTAACATTATAGGGGCGCATATTGGTTGACAGCCCACTGGCCCCTCCAGAAAAATAGTATCCAGCACGCCACTGTTGCAACTGACTGAGTTAGGAACTCAAAAAAGAACGCTTCACGTAGTTTACCTGTAAAACACTCTTTTTTGCTTATTATTTTAGATTACAATTATATATGATTATAAAACTCATTAATAATTCATGAAGAAAATTCAAAAGAAATGAATGTTTAATCAATGTTTGTAAATCGCATAAAGATTTGTCCTGATTTATAAACTTCAGCTCTGATTTTCTTGGATATGATCAAGTGCTCTTTTACATCGATTACCTAATTACTTACTTAGCCTAGACTATTTTATCTCTACAACAATTGTGATATTACTTTCTTACGTATTACTTTCTTTCTTTCTTTCTTGGGTATACGTGTCCTACATGCCTTGATCCCCAACAGGGGGGGGGTGTATGGGGGGGGACACCGCCCCCCCCAAAAAAAAAAAAAAAAAAACAAAAAAAAAACAACAAACAAACGAATCGTCTGGATTGGCAGGGCGAATCATCTGGATTGGCAGGGCAATCACAGATTTTAAATAATAGAATGTAGAGTTATTAAGTAACTTACAGGGCTTTCGGAGGGAATTGAATAGAATTTATAGACCTAAATTGTACAAATATTGGTCCAAAAATAAGGGTTTCACCCATGTTTTAACAGGAATTTGCACGGAAATTTTTTTTTGACCCTTAATTTAACCGGTTTGTGTCGGGAAAACTTTTTGGACCCTTTTTTTAATGTCCGGAAAATTTTTTCAACCCTCCCCCCTCCCCCTGCTCGCCAACATTTTTGGGAAAAATAGTGGCCAGAGATAAATTTGCTGCAGGGCATCATCGGTTTTGGCAAGGCAATTCCGGCAGACACCCCCGGAATTAAAAGGGGCTAGTTTCCCCCCTGATCCCCAATGAAAAATATATTATACAAAGGAATAAGTGCAGCAATGTGTTGAAATAAATCTTAAATTCTTTACCTTCCTAAGTTTAGTTCCAGCTTGAATGCTCTGCAGCAATCCACCCCTGTCAGCACTGCCCGTCGACTTTACGCTGACTGAGCTCCCCGAGCCTGTTGGGGTACTAGGGGAAGGTGGAGGTGGTACACTTGTAGGTGGAGGAGGGGGAGGTGGGGGAGCAGCTGGTCCCGCAGGGGGAGGAGGTGGTGCAGGAATTCCTTCTGTTGGGGGAGAAGGTGGTGTAGGTGTTGTTTCAACCGGGGGTGACGCAGCTGGACCCGGGGGAGGATGAAAAGTGCTGTGTGTTTGATGTGAAGGTTGGCTGGCATGCTTGTGATGTGCATGTTGAGCTGAAGGAGAATGAGCAGATGGGTTTCATTAAGGTTACAGAACACCTTTGAGTGTTAATTTTGCCCAAAAAATTTTTATTGGTTTCCATGAAAGCATTAGACTAGTTCTACTATCTGACCAAGTTTGAACGAACAATGTTGAAAACTCGCAGAGTTATTTAATAAGATACATTTCGCTGCAATAAGAAAAACATTGAAAATGTAATATTCAAATTCAATTTTCTCCCGAAAAAGTTTACGGTAATTACTGATTTTCAAACGAGTTGTGCTCCTGCGGGTTTTAACCAATTTTTCTCAAATTTTCACAGAACATAGCTAAAGACGTCAGTTTCAAAATCGTGTTCGGCTTTTTTGTAATTTTGGATATTGTAAAAATAAAGAGCAATTCACTGAAACAATTCAGAAATATATTGCAGTCGTCAAAAAAATCGCCATATTAGCGGAATGATACCCTGGATTCCAGAGCCTTCGACAGTAAATAATAAATTGAAATGTCGCGAAGGCTCTGGTTCAATGGGGCGATTCTTTGATTAAGCCGCGCCAATCACAAAACAGAATTAGTGGTTTTAGTACACTAATTCTGTTTTGTGATTGGCGCGGTTTAATCAAAGAATCGCCCCGTTGAACCAGAGCCTTCGCGACACTTCAATTTATTATTTACTGTCGAAGGCTCTGGAATCCAGGGTAGCGGAATGACGAAATAAACAAAAAATTCCGAACACAATTTTTTAGAACAACTATTTTACTGTATAAAAATGATATTTTCATAAATATAACTTAAAACCAGCAGGAGCATAACTCAAAAGCGTAACCGTACCGCGATTTAAGATTTTCCTGAATAATTCTTACATTATTTTATTGTTTGTTAATTTTACAACTTTACCATATTTTGCATGCACTGGACAACATTTGGTGAAAATTTGATGAAAATCGGACTGATATTGAGCGCGCAGTAGTGATTTTCCGCAAAACGCCAAGAAAGGTGTCCTGTAACCTTAAGTACTATCGCGTAACAGATGGTGGTCAACTGGGATGATCTACTGGGTCAAGTTAAGTCAATCGTCTTTGATTGTCTTTCAAAAACTCACACATGCATGGTTTTTCCAAATTGCACTTGAAACCATACTGTTACTTATACTATGAAATAGAATCCTTTTACAGGATTTTAATGTGAGAAAACCTTAGAATTTCATACCCATTTGGGGATATATGAAAAACTAGTTTCATATTTGAGCTACTGATCGAGTAAACGGGGACTTTGTAGCGAGAATTGAAAGTTTGAAACACTCATGCGCGTCCTCCAAGACAAGATTTAAATCGTCTAGAAAATATTTTGTGCGCTTAGATTGGATAAAACTCGCTACCAATCCTCATTGATTCCTAATGTAAATTACATTGGAGTCAGATATCATTCTTATTTTTCAACTTCTGTAAAACTTACGCGACGGTGCATGTGGATGGTGTGGAACTTGTTGACTGCGCGTTGACGGAATTGCAAAGTTTGAATGATGTTTCCCAGCAGGGCCAGCTAACATTCCTAGAAGAGTAGAAAAAATGGCACTTGTGAATATGGTGGTTGGCGATTTTTGGCCACCTTCTGAAAATCTCCAAAAGTTCAAAAAAGTAAAGAATAACCTTTTAGCTTTTCGTCGACAGAATGTAAAAGCAAACCCCTTTACTTTTTGCCCAGGAATATTTTTGGCCAGTTTCTCAAAATCTCCAGAAGTGGCTAACATGGCCAAAAAGTAAAGGCCCACTCACCAGACATAGAAGGTTGACCGTACATCGACGCCATAGAACCGCCTGACTTCATATTCATCATGAACGCTTGTCGTGTTTCAGGCGGCATGCTGTTGAACATCGCCTGTAACTGTGCTCTCTGACTGGCAGCCACTGCCGGAGCTCTCATTTGCATGAACATCATGCTCTGCATACTCGGAGGCATGAATTGCATACGAAAGTAAGGATTCTGCATCGCTTGCATGGCGTTCATTTGAAAGCTCATTTGTTGTTGCTGTTGATAGGCAGCCAGCTTTCTTTGTCTCATTTCTAGAAAATTAAAAAGAAGAACGTGCAAATATATGTCCGGGTGTGCCCATCAATGATAAATAAGTGCAAGCCTTTTTGCCTTTAATTGCTACTGTTGCTCCACAGTATTCAAGAATGAAATTCTCGGTGACAACAGGATTGAAGCCGTGTCGCGGCTGAGGGAGAGGAGGAACGGGGCGGCCCTCCGATGTAGTTTTTTATTCGTTCACAATGTTGCGTATCTTGCTCGCATCTACTCGTAGAATCTACTGAACTTTGTTCTAGCTAACATAAAGCTAAAATGTAAAGCTAATATAAAACTATGTCTCCCATTGAGTTAAATTGTCTGAGAAATCAATATTTGACACTGCAAAAGGTTGATTTATGAAGACATTCACATTTCTCTCGAAGTATACTTCCACAGTGCAGCACAGAAAAAAAACAGAAATCCACAATTCAATTTTTCCCGGAACCCCCAACAAATTAGTAAGTTTGTATAAAATCACAGAAGTAAAGTATAATGCACCAACTATTGTCGCATTGATAATAGTAGTAATGATGAGAGTGATGATGATAATGATCTACTGGACTATTAAGGAGAACTCTACTGGAAAGCGTTTGCAAATGGTGATTAACCTGCTGTCCCTAGTAGTTCACAAGATTATTATCATCATCACTATCAGCATCTTCATGACTTCATCATCACTACCATCATCATTGTCATCATCATTATCATCACTATCATCATCATTATCATCACTACCACCATCACTATCAACATTATAATCATCATTACAAATATCATATTATCATCATCATTACAAATATCATCATGATCACTTTTCTCATTATCATTATTATCATTATCATCATCATCATCATCATCATCATCATCATCATCATCAATGCAACAATAGTTGGCGGATTACATTTCAGTTTTGCATGTGACAGGGGTTCAGGCGGTTCAGCCCAGGCAGTATGCAGTTTTCTGATCATTGCATATCCTCAATCGGTATGCGATACTCTACCGAATACCGTGGATTTCCACAGGTACTCGAATGCTCTAACTAAAGAGAACATGCAGTTTAGAACTAATAGTACTATCCATTATCCCAGCTGCAGAAATTTAAAGTCCCTTTCTTACTCAATATAACTTCTTACCATCTCTCTTCCTTTTGAAAACATTCACTCTTTCCATTATTGCAGCTCGAAACAATGCAGCCTCTTCCGTGTTGGCAAAATTGATTCCAGCCCGACAATCCTGGGACATATGGTATACATGTTACAATCCAAAATAATGGGACCATACTAAGCTACTTTAATTTGCGATTTTTCGCATTTCATATATATGCATGAAAACGCACAAGTCGTTAACAAGTGATAACTTTAATAATAAAAATGTAAAATTATCACAACTAGCTCGTCCTAATACTGACTGAAAATGCGGGACATCTTAAAAATAGCGTAATAGTAAAATATATACTTACATGGGCAAAAAAGGTTTGAAAGTATTTCGAAACAGCTCTGTATTTAAACTGTTTGTATAGTTCTTGCTCCCAAACAACATATTTCTCCTATAAAATGGTAGTAAATATTTAATGGAGCTCATATGCGAACATATTCATTCCTCCAAAACATGCTCTCTAAAAAATTCCAATTGCCACGCCTGATCAGATCTGCAGTGAACCAGTATTTTAATTGCGTTCTAATTTTAACTTTATCTCAAATTCTGGCCGCGCATGTGCCCGGAGCCGCATCTTCACCACAATGTAGCCGTATTTCAACCGCTTCGAAACCTAATCGCGCATTTTAACTAGCGCTTCCTAAACGCAACCCAAGCACATTTTGAGTCGCACGTCCTCGCACGCCCGGGAAGCTAAACCCATGGAAAGGATAGCCTGCGCGGCAGGCGGTTTTTAGCGAGACCGTGAGGGAATACCGCCTGTCGCAAAACTAAGTGTAAATGAATTACCGCCCCTGAAGCATCAAAGCTTTTTATACTATAATGTCATTAATTAAGTAAATATTCAAAATTAGCCACTCCCAAGTCCCAACATAAAATAAATTCCTTGATTCTCATCACCGCCCGACGGCATATTGTAAACACTGGACTGGACTTTGGACTATGGACTTTGGACTTTAAACTATGGACTTTGGACTTTAAACTATGGACTATGGACTTTAAACTATGGACTATGGACTTTAAACTATGGACTTTAAACTATGGACTTTAAACTATGGACTTTAAACTATGGACTTTAAACTATGGACTTTAAACTATGGACTTTAAACTATGGACTTTAAACTATGGACTAGCTATATGGACTATGGACTATGGACTATGGACTATGGACTTTGAAATTATATTATTTTAAAATTTTTCGTATAATTATATTAAAATCTAAACAGAGAAGGAAAATTCGCTGCTGAAAAGCGTGCTACAGTGCCGACAACACATCAAGAAACGAAATACGCTCGCTCTTGTCAATTTAGCTCCAATCTCGTTCCCAGAGCATGCCCGTTCGCAGGTTAAGGGTCGGCATAGCCTTAACCTGCGGACGGACATGCTCGGGGACTGAGTTGGCTCCGCTTTTGCATAAATATTACTTATATCCAATTAAATCTATCCAATGGGAATCATTAATGTCATGTTTATTTTTAAAATCAACATTCAGCCTGGAAATTATCAATCTCGTTCCACGAGCCTGCGATCCTCGGGAAGGAACGTGAGGCTCTGGGATAATCCGTTGCCGGAAGCCAGCAATCCTGGCTAAGATTGAACTGCGCATTCCATATCAACGGCCAATCAGATTCCTCCCTGAAACGGATTATCCCAGAGCCTCACGTTCCTTCCCGAGGATCGCAGGCTCGGGGAACGAGATTGGGAAATTATTTAAAGCATAAGAGGTGGACCATAATTAGATATCCTGGGACTAGCTAACAGTCGTGGGTCGTGGATATAATGTCGTAGGTCCCGAGTACAAAGCTGTGGGTCCCGAGAAAAAAGTCGTGGGTCCCGAACAAGAAGTCGTGGGTCCAGAGAAAAAGTCGTGGGTTCCAAGCAAAATATTTCCGTATATTTTCCTTTTCCCTTTCCCTTTTGGAATGAGTTTTTTTTTTTCTGAGGCTTTCCCAAATGTACGTAGAGCGCATTAAGGTCACTGTTTTTTTTATTTAAAATTTATTATTCGATGTTTACCCTAAAAGCAAACTGCTTATCGGGGGGGGGGGGCTCACATCAATACTTAGCCTATATAACATTTTAACACACAACACACAAATGGTACACACACCCAGACAAAATAAGATATTAATATAGAAATATTAAACATCAAAGGCGGATGCTGCAAAACGACATGTGTTTAAAATAACAGGCACATCGATTTACGTTGTGTTGTTGATGTGTTGTCGGCTGTCCCTCCTTTCTCCTAAGAGACTGCTCGCGGTCTATTCCTCAGTGTAATTAGCTGAGAGATACAGATATTCAACAACCATGCTCAAGAAATATAACCGCGATATGCTTGCTCAAAAAATGATTTGCAAAATGTTTACAATGTTTCCAGTTTTTACTATTGTAGTTATACTTAGTTATTTTGGTAGTTGGTTTTTCATTGTTTGATGATTAGTTTTTAAGATTAGTTATATATCTATATAATCAATCAATAAGTCAGTTATTATTTTGTGAGAAGAGCCGTACCCAGGCAGAAGAAAAGAGTTTCCTATAAGCTCTTATGTATTTTTTATGTCTCAATGCATAGATGAAGGCATTTGCAATCGAGTTTATACCAACTAGTTGGGGAATTACGATCCGAATTCTAGGTTTTAAGAACCATGCATAATAAGATCAACCACGAAGCGTATTCATGACAATATATGGAACAAAACAACATGTCAAGACTCCCACGATAATGGCGAATGTCTTCATAGCTTTCAATTCCTTTGACAGATGACGTAACCAAGTCATGTTTTGCTCCGACTGTACTTGTTCCGACTGTACTTGTTCTGATTGTCGAGGCTGTAACACGAATTGTGATGCCATCCTTTGTCTTTGCTGTTTGACGATCTTGAACATTTTGTAATTCAGGATTATCATGACACAAATGGCGGCAAACGGTAGGATTGCCTGCAACCATACAACGGGTCGTGGAAAATGACATTTTTCGCGCTCACGTCTAATTTGGCTGGTGTTCATGTAAATATATATGAGAGAAAACTGAACCAATGCAGCTAACCAGACACAACTGAGAAATATCCTAGTTCTTCGTGTTGTCACGATAAGTGGATACTTCAGCGGCTTCGCTATATACAGATATTTATCAATTGTGACGGATAGTAGAATTATTATGGAAAGGAATAAAGAAATATAAAATGTGGTACGGTTTATCCTGCAAAACACTAGTTCTTTATTTCTTATTCCTGCATGAAAGAACAAAACAATTCTTTTTGGATAAAGTACTAAACAAACGAGAAGATCAGCGAAAGCAAGATGTGTAACCAACCAGCTGCTCGGAGTCTTGTCGTGGTTCAGGAAGATGTTATAAATAATAACTGCAGTGTTTCCTAACACACCAACAAATAAGAAGATGAAACTAAGTACCACTACGATAACACGCTCAACATCGTCATCTCTTGGGGAAGATCTTGAGTTCGTCGTAGACATCGTTGTTCCCTGTTCTTCTCAAAACTGGCCGTTTCGTGCAAGAGCAAACACTTCAAACATTGCGTTGCTTTTAAAACACAGCCGACTTTTGTAGACAAGTGACTTGAGTGGCGTGTCATTTCGGCGCAATTTGAAGCTTTATTCATCATCGATTGAATGGATTAAATGATAAAGGTCTGCATGATTGCTACGGCCCTGGAATTACTTCACAAACCTGGCGCCAAAAAATTTAAAATAAGCTATAGGTGATTTCATGTATCCATTTAGAAGAGCAGACTAGGGATATCTTAAAACTGAAATCGGCTTTGAATACAACCATCAGGGACGTAGCGAAGGGGGGATGTCGTTTGGGGGGGATGTCGTTTGGGGGGATGTTTGAGGATTATACGTGTAATAATTACAATAAAGCTTTTTGTGATTGATTGGCAATCTCATACTAAGTTTTGGAAGAAAAGGGGGGTCTGCGGGTCCTCCCCCAGAAAATTTTTACATTTTTGAAGCTCGACAGGAGTGAATTTCTGGCGTTTTCTAAAGCAAATTCGCAAACAAATTGCATGTAAATGAACTGTATTAATTTTTACAAAAACGGTTATCATTTCACAAAAATAATTACTTTATTATGCAAATTTTACCTGAAAATGTTAAAATTTTAACTTGAATTTTACATGATTTTTGCCTGAATTTCACTGTAGCGGGACGGTTTTATGTCCCTGACAACCATTCCTTGCAAAGATAAAATGACTTAAATTTCTAAAAATCCGCCATTTTGTTCTATTTTTAGTAACAATATGGTGGATTTTTCAACATTTGTATCGCTATATCGATCGTCCCATAAAATGGTTGTATTTAGAAACAAATTTCAGTTTAATTAATTAAAGTACCCTTGGTCTGCTCTACAAATGGGATTCAGTAGAATCACCAATAGCTTATTAGTTGCTGGGGCACCTGTGCCAGCAACTATAGGTTTCGGGTGAAATTAGTCTCCTTCTCCATGGATAGTCGCAAAATGGAAATTCCCACTGATCTATATACGAAGCAATACGTGCATACATTTTCGCTATTTTAACGGTCTTAAAGTCTTCGTAAGTGTATAAAGTGAACGTCAAATTGTTCTTTCAATCACACTTTTTCTTCTGGGGGCTTTTTGAAAGAAATCCATCAAGAATATACAGAATTATGTCGACGTTTCACTATCGAGGAGTGGAGTAGATTCCTAGGTGGATTAACTGACAATAACTGTGTTATTTATTCGTCGTACCATTATTTCTGAACGTTTATATTTTTGTTTTGTGAAGTTTTACATCTATATACGCTTTATTATGGCTTATAGTCCTTGTTGCTCCAATAGTCTGCATAAAAATCGTATTTGTTTACATGTATTGGAACTGTCATATTTGCATGCTAGCTCTATTTTCAAGAAGGCTCAAATGTTGGCTGTTTTGAAGTGACACACGAGGTACGTGACACACAATCTTGGATTGGTATTTCTTAGATAGATGGATGTTTTTAATTGATAAACCTTGCAGCCATTGGCTGTATTATGTTAACATTACATAAGGTCCACTTATTATTCTGGTTATAGGACTGAACTATTAGCTTAAAACTCCCATGTTCTTGTTGTAAACTGCATCATGTATTCATGATTTTTGCTTGTAACTTATTTGCTTATTTAATAGATTGCAAACAGAGGGGTCCCCTTGTTAAAAATTTAATGTCAACTTGGGAAGATTAACCTCGCAATATTTTTGCAGATTGCAAAATTTATAATCTATCAGTAATCTGTACCTTTATGATCTAACTATTTGATGATATTTATGTGGCTCTAACATGTAATAGCTTCAATATTTTGGAGTGTATTATTTTATGTTAATTAAGCCCTTTAGTTAAAAATCACCAATTGAAGAATTGCTAGAACCAAAAGCGAATACTGGAACTATTTATATTATTTACCATGTTGCACCCTCAATGCCTGGTTACCCCACGTCTTGTCACCCCCCCCCCTCTTTGAGGGC